CAGGAAACTCCAGGGCCCCACTATCCCCTGGAGTCCCCCCTCACGTCCCCAAGTCAAGCCCCAAAGGCAGACAAAGGGAAACAAAGGGAAGAGCCCCCACATCGGCTATCCGAAAAACTACTGGACTTGTTCCAGGTTCCATCTGAATGGAGGATGGAAAGTGAAGATCAACTTCTTCTCAGGCTGAAAGCCCGAGAAGGCGCGAAAATATGCCCTGAGAGCAGGATCTCCCAGAGCGCGGAAGCTCCAAAAGAACTTCCACTATTTACACTCCCACACACCATGCCAGACAAGGCAAGGTCACCAACTTCGGAGGAGGTCTCTGAGATAATGAAGAGGAGGCGAACTGAAATGAGGGAGTTCGCTGAGGAAGCCTTATGTAAAAGTAAGGAGAAACCAGCGAACAGACCCCTCTATGAAAGGGAAGCACCCTCCGCAACGGCCTCGCCTAAACAAAGCGAGCGTGGAGTGTTCACTCCAAGAACCCATTCTGGAACCCCCAGAAGCGGAAATGTCAACTGGGGAGAGTCACTGCTCGCCCAACCAAACTTCCTCCTGGAAAACCAGGAATTGCGCATAATAAACGCGATAAACTCGATCCAAAAAAAGATCGAGGAAACGAACCATAATAGCATGGCTCGTCTAGAGATAACTCTAGAAAGAATGGCCAACGCAATCGATGCGTTGACTGAAAAAATCAGCGAACAAACAGATTTGCTGAAGGAAATAAACTTCTCACAAAAAAGTGAGGAAACAAATAAACACCCCTGGACCACGGTCCAGGACATAAATAGAACTTGTGAAAAATTCACGAAAAGAACCACCAGTGAAAGCACACTGGAATATCATCAGCGACTCGACAGAGACGCTAAGGAGATCCTTCTCCCAAGGATAGGAGAAGACGATGCCGAAAGAAGGCATCGTTCAGAGATTAGAAGGAGAATTGGCACATACCAAAGGTTCGGCCAAACATCCACTTATGACGGACCTCTCGAACAGAGAGGTAACTCATTCACACCCTCTCAAAACAATGAGAGAATACAAATACAACTTCAGGCGAATTCGCCTGAAACCAAAGAAACGCTGCGAGGAAGATTTCCCCCAGCAAAAACCCCCCCAAAGGAGAGATCTCCATTGGATAGCGACCCCGCAAAGGCAGGGGAGCAAGAAGAGTACCTGGAGAAATGGTACGAAAAGGCCATAAGAATGGCCGAAGTGAGAATACTCACTCCATACCCAGAAGGAGTGAAGCCAGAAGCCCTAAAGAATGGGCCGGCATTCCCTGACAAGAAATGGTCAGGGGAGAACGACATGGAATTGTTCTGGCAGTGGTTCACAGAACTACTGGGATTCCTCGCCTCGCGAGGATGCAAAGGTCCCCAATTCGACGAAGTCCACCTGGACTGCTTGATTCATGGATTAGGGGGGCCTGCATTTGACCTCGGAATTAGACTCCGAGACGAAGCTCTCCTCAGAGGAGACGAGGGCATGTTCCTCGAAGTTCTCAACATATTGATGAGAACTTTCATCAAAGCCTCTGCCGCGTTGAACGTGACAAAGAAATACCGCAACGTCAAATACGAAGCGGAAAAAGGCCTAAAACAGTTCTACTTAGAACTGTCAAAAGCAGCATCCCAGATGGTGACGCCGCCAGACCAGGCGTCCTTCAACGCCAGGTTCCTAAACTACATTCCCCTCGAATGGAAGAGGGAAATGATCGCTCATGATAGAATCAGAGCAGACTTCTCCTCAAATGAGGAGATGTTAAAAGCAATATCTCGTGTAGACGAGATAATTGACGGGCTGAAGATGTCTTCAGCCTACAAATCAGGTTACTATACCCGAACAACTACCATGGCAACCACGAGCCGTGGCAGAGCCCTGTCAGGGCACACACCCTGACTAGCCCGGACCCGGACCCGCTTCCACCTGCCACGCTTCCCACATGCGCGCACGCTCCGCGCGCCGCATGCTCTGGACCCGGTTCCTACCCCTTCATGTGACTTCCGGGTATCCCCGGAAGTTTTGCTGATATTGTGGCCACTGTGGGAAGATGAGAAGTTAGCTTCCTTCTCATCTCCTTACCCACAGTAGGCAAGTGTATTCTACATTGCCTTTATCTATTACATCTCCTTACCCACAGTAGAGTTGTGCCCTGGACAGGGCTGGTTACACCACAGGCTGTGGACCATAGGGGAGGGTCATGGGGACCCGGGAGTCGTCCCCTGACAAGCCCTCCCATCAGGAAAGAAAGCGGAAGAGCTGAAACCCAGATGGAAGGAGGATACATCCTCGAAAAACTCGAGGAAAACTGACCAAAAGTCAGTTCCAAATTGCGGCAAATGCGGCAAAATAGGGCAAACGAAAGATTGCCCAAGACACAATATAACAAGCGATGAAAAACCAAGGCGCATAGCTGCCATGGAAATCGCGAACTCAACGGATGAAGAGTCGAAAGGCTCATCAGATGAGAAACCAGAGAACAACTCTGGTAACTCCGAAGCATCAAGCTTTGAAGTAGAGGACCCATACGAAGGACCTCAATACTCACCCGACTCAGAGGGTGAGGGAGTCAACGTCGGGACCATAAGAATGGGCCCAATGTCAGTCATCGACCACGATGACATAAATTATAAAATCAAACTGGCTGTAGCACACCAGTTAGAAAACACAGCAGACGAAAAAGTCACCGAAGCCTTGGTGGAAGCACCAAGAAAAGATGCCTTGGGGAAATACACCAAAGTACCCAAGGAAAACAAGGACAAAGGGAAGAAGGACCAAAAGTCCATCGAAACCCAGTCCCCCCTTGTTTGATGCGAAATTCCGCATCTCAAAAGACGCGGGAAAATACCCCGCAAACAGACCGCTCTCAACGAAGAGAACGCTAACGGCTCACATAAAAATAGCAGGCATAAAAGCCTATGCGCTATTCGATAGTGGAGCCAAAACGGACGCTTTATCGCCGGACTTTGTCCGCGTGGTCCACATCCCAATTCTCCAATTGGAGAACCCAGTCGTCCTTCAAATGGGGACGAAAGGAACAAGATCACAGATCCTGTTCGGAACCAATTGGACAAGGCGAAAGGTGGCAGACTTGCCACCCGGCCGCATTCATGTCCAAAAAGTTCACCAACACACAACGTAGGTACTTCGCCTACGAGCTCGAGGCACTGGGTGTCCTCGAAGCACTCATGAGATGGCAAGATGACCTCATGGGAGGCTGTGAATTCACAGTAATCACGGACCACAAAGCTTTGGAATATTTCAAAGCGAAAAACCACAACTCAGGGAGACACCTGAGATGGCAAGCCTTTTTCGCAAGCTTCAATTGCAAAATAAAATACGTGGAAGGCCACAAAAATAAAGTGGCAGATGCACTCTCACGATACTACGACTCATCAATGGACGAGGATCTGCATTTCGACGATTATGTTTCAGCGGACATCCACCTGGACAAAAATGCAGAAGATATCATCCCTGACAGAATCGAGGAATACGAAGAACTGCTACTAAGCAGTACCCTGAGTAAAAACTCAGAGAAAAAGAGACTCGCAGCGATACGTGCGAGAAATACCCTAGAGGAAGCTCTAGGGGGAGCGATAACCTAGAGGAAACTCTAGGGGGGAGCGCCAAAAATCTGGAAGAAATCATAACTCCAGAAGAGAACCTTCGAAACAATTCGAAGAAAAAGACCTCATTGAGGCAATAAAATCTGGATACTTGAAAAGCCAGATCCACCGGGAAATCCTAGAGAACCCGGGGAATTTCAAAAACTTCTCTGTAAAAGACGGGCTGATAACCCGACTTGGAGAAGGAGGAACGACCCAAATAGTAGTCCCGAAAGGGAACTACGAAAGGAAGTCCATTCGGGGAATAATCCTCGAGAACATCCATGAAACACTTGGACACCTAGGATCCAAGAAAACAGTGGAAACCCTCCGTCAACACTTCTGGTGGAAGTCGATGAGAAAGGATACCCACAAGTTCTGCAGGTCTTGCGGAACTTGTCAAACGACAAAGAAAAGCACCAGGAGAAATCCCGGAATGCTTCACCCACTCCCGACCCCAGAGACACCATGGTCGTCAATAGCCATGGACTTCACAGGTCCATTCCCAACAAGCTTGGGATATGATTACCTCTGGGTAATCATCTGTAGGTTGACGTCCAACGTCCACCTAATTCCAATAAAGACAACAACGAACGCACTAGAACTAGCATTCGTATTTCTTTGTGAAGTTGTAAGACTCCACGGCCTACCACACTCGATCATATCAGATCGAGACTCAAAATTCACGTCAAAATTCTGGCGCGAACTACACCGAATACTCGGTGTACAGTTGAAATTCACAACTGCATTCCACCCGCAAGGTGATGGCCAAGTGGAAAGAATGATACAAAAAGTAGTACAAATACTACGCGCGATGGTTAGACCAGACCAATGCGACTGGGCAGCGAAACTGTTGATGGCGGAATTTGCGATCAATGCGAGCTCGAACACATCGACAGGATTTGCCCCGTTCGAATTAATCTACGGCCATATGCCAAAGATGTGCCTAACAGCACCACTCTCGGACTACCCGGGAGTAAATGACTTCGCTCAAAAAGCGAAGGAAAACCTCATGGCAGCACATGACGTGATAATACATAATTGCGCTGCTCAAACAATCCAGGCGAATAAGAAAAGATGCTCGGACCCAGACTCCTTCCCAGTCGCTCACGTGATTTCTCTGAGGTTTAGCCGCAACTTATGTTGCCCTCCGAAATCTGTCGAGCGACTGGTACAACTTGCAACACGTGATGTTCCCACGGTGTCCTCCCACGCTCGCCATGCCTTACTTCGATCTCGTTGTACACGCTGTATCCTCATGCCCAAATAACAGTAAAAAATGTACATAATTTCCTTTCAACATTCTCTCAGCGCACAAATACAATAATGTCCACACACTCCATTATGACAACTCTCATCGAGCAAATCCAGGCAACTCCGATCCGCACTGTAATGGGCTTCATTGAGGTCTTGCTCTCAAGCAGAAACTTGGCCCTTCAAGTATCAACTGGACCAATAAAATCAGAAGAGGGAACACGACGCATCCTCGATCTCCTGTTGGCACATGCATGCAGGGACGCAGTTATTGACTGGGCGGTTGAGCAAGCCTGTGAAAGGTTTAAGAGCGAGATCCTCCAGGTATCGAGGGGGGAATCAGGCTTACATTTCAATGCATCCCGAGCTCACGCTGCCGACATCCTTGATTTTGACTTGGAAGAGATTGCGCAGAAACTTGAGGTCCTTGCACCACGCACTTGGAGTGTAGTTCAAGCTCTCCTGGATGCCAATCCCCTCGCGCGTCGACGAAAGGTTGTGACAAAAGCCTCGGCTTACGAAGATCGACATGATCTTGAAGAGCCACTCGGTGATGTGTCCAATGCAGAATGGAATGGGGGAAGTGAAGGGAGAATTGAAGACATGACGGACGATGAAGTAGGCGAGGATGAAGTGGGAGATGGAAAAAGGGCCAAGCATTCCGCAGAGGATCGAGGGCTCACTTTGCTACGAATCGTGAGTAGAAAAACTACATATAGTAACGAGACACATACCATATTTCAGAAAGGGTGTGCCATTCTATCAATAATGGCAAACAGTACAAATTCCCGTTGTAACGCATTCCAGGCCGTCCAAGGGTTCTTCCTAGAGTCCGTCAATGCTCCCGAGCGCGTCATTAATGTCCTAGCACATGGTGGTTGGAGTATCTCTGTCGTGTCAATAGTCAATATTGTGCCAGCTCTCACAAAAGAGCGGCAGGGGGAAATCAGGAAGCTCTCAAGGACTGGCCTTTGTGCACTGGCATATGACAACCTTGACTTTGACTTCAGCGTGAAGGAGCCGACTGTGGAGAATGCTGGTAGCTTTGCTAGTATAACAACAGGAACATTCATCCAGTTGACACCTGACACAACGTTGGATGACCTACGCTTTTCAAAGGAGCTATGGGAGAAGAGCCCCCTAAATCCCAGCGGACCCAAAGATTCCATGCCACCCGTTCCACCACCGTACGAATACATTGTTGCTCGCGTAAAAGAAGCCCTCCCTGGTGTCCGTTCGGCAATCCTCTGGTTCATAAAGAGTATACTGGTGGAGGACTACCTCCATCCTGAGTACCGGGACCTCCTTGGACCCATGCCGTCCTCGAAGTGGATTAGTGTCTCTAAATCGGTTCAGTATCCAGCGCGGGCAATGCACATAAAGGCCTCAGAAACAGATGGAAATGTCGAGATTGTTGAGAATATGGAACGCCAGCTTGGTACCCCTGACGAATGGTATGATACATACGTGCGCCTATGTCATGGTGATCTGGGGACTCAAGAGCGACACGACACGACGACATCATTCCACTCCATTGAGCGAAATGGAAAATTGCGTTTGCAGTGGCTCATTCCAGTGCCCGGAGTCTTCCATATTCAGATGGCTGCAGTAGACGCTATATGGAGAATACACCTTAGGGGTCAGGACAGGTGTGAAAATGATACCTTCGAATTATTCAAAAAGCTCCGTCCGAAAGATGCCTCAAAGCTTGCAAGTAATCCAGGTTACCGTATGCTCAATGATGGAATCCAGCATCTAATCCGAGCTCACCTCACAGTCTACTGGGAGTTGACCACAGGATTTCAAGACCTATCGGAATTCGCTGGAACGGAACCATCCTGGGATGAAATCGAGCTGTTGGCACATCGCATATTCAACGAGCACATCGCCGGGGGCGATTTTGAGGACATACGTGGAAGGCCCAACACCGAGCGTGATCACAGAGGTGAAAACCGAATGTTGTTTAATCGAGATGCCTTGCTGTACACCCTTCTTGCCCAAGCCACAAATACTGGTGCCATTGGCCTCATGAAAGATCTTCTCTGGCATTGGGTTCCAATGTTCCTTGCATGCGGAAAACACAAATACGCCACTCACCTTTCCAAATTCCTACGTGATCTACATCTTGTATTTCCGTTGCGGCTTGCAAGCGCCATAGAAAACAACTGGCTATGTAACCCAACGGGATCTGAAAATGGATTTAGGGGGGTGGATTGGTGGGTGGAGCTAAATAATTTATACACGAAAGTAAGTCTTTATCGTTCAACCGGCAAGTGACTTACAGTGTGGCCCAAAAGGTGATATTCTGTGGGTCAGGCTCAAATAGGACCTTGACACACATCATCAATCAGTCATCACTGATCGAGCTCTATCGATCAGTGCATGTCAATATCGCGGACAATTTTGCGGTCACGCGGAGGTCAACTCGGCACACACGAGCTAATATGACCAACACCCTAAAAGATCTCCAAGAAGGTATCAGGGCACACGTTTGTCGTACTCACACACAATATTCTGCCATCACCACGGGAGTGCCAAACATGTTAGTCGTTGGACTCACCGAACTCTTGCTGTCTAAAAACCAGCCGGAGGACAGTGCAGAGGAAGTAGAAATAAGTGCCCGTATTGAAGAGTGTGACTTTGACGCACTTTAGGACATTGTAATATCTATGTAGAGTGACGAAAAATAGGCGCTGAGCGCAGAAAGGGTGCTTCGGCATATTCCGCATCCTATTCCCGACTCTAAAATGGTCAAGAACACCCGGCAGCGAGCCAAACCAACCACTGTGGAAGGGCTTCAGCATGAGTGCTCAGAGTATTTTGGGTGGCAGCCATGCCGGTGGCAGAGTGAGGTTGCATTCAATCTCGTTGGCCGAGCAAATCAAATTTCTATATCCTCCACTGGCTCGGGGAAGAGTCGCGTCTTTTGGTTGCCAATGATCTACGAGAGCGGGCTTACCATCATAGTCGTTCCTCTCAAAAGTCTTGGTCAGCAGCTTGCCGACGAGTCATCAAGGGAAGGGTTCCATGCCGTCTCGGTCACCTCGGAACTTCTAGGGGAATCACCTGGTCTATTAGATGTATGGCAGCCCTTGCATTGCTCACCTTGATCTGACTTGAGGTATCCATAGGAAATCAGGAAATCCGCGTTCCGGACCGTAGTGCTGTCACCCGAAATTTCAGTGGATCCGCGTTTCATGAAAATATGGACTGACCCGAAATTTAAGCGTAAAATCGACCATGTCATAGTGGACGAGGCCCATTGTGTTAGCCAATGGGGGAGGGACTTCCGCGTTTCATACCTTTGGCTATCACGCTTACGTACCGTGTTAGGGGATGAGATTCCATGGTACCTCACCTCAGCCACACTTCATGTGGCCACTGTTCGCGATGTACTGAACATAATCGGACTGCCAAAGGATACGTCAATCTATAGACGTTCCAATGATAGACCCAACATTCACCTGTGCGTGCGTGCAATGAAATACACTATCGCATCGCGCTTTGACCTCGCATTCTTGGTCCCCCCCAATGCAAAGCTGGATGATGCAGAGTGGGTTCGGCAGTACATCCCGCAATTCCTCGTTTACTGCAATTCACGTGCGGATACGGAGAAAGTGGCCAAGTTCTTGCGGAATCGCCTGCCTGCTGACGCGTGGGGCCGAATTGTCTGGTATCATTCAGGAATGTCCGAGCCGTTCAGAAGAGAAATGATTGAGGCCTTTGAGGCCGGTGAGATCTTGGGTATCTGCTGCACAGATGCCTGTGGAATGGTAAATAAGCCACATCCTGTGTTTAGAATTTACTTACGTGTTTGATAGGGCCTCGACCTGCACCGCGTCAAGATTGTCGTCCAGTACCGATTACCAAAGAAGATTGATGCCATGGTCCAACGGTTTGGGCGGGCAGGGCGTGATCAATCCATAGACGCCATTGCAATTCTCATGGTAGAGAAGGCCTACGTTAATAAGGGGCAACGTCAGTTATGGACGACCAAATTCAGCGACGTACTCACAAAGAAACGAGGGGCGGCTGAAAGCAACGCCACAGGCCCACAGAAACGCCGCATACTAGGTGAACAAGGCAATACATTGGGTTCTCCCGTTGATCCCTATGAACAGGCGATGAACGAGGAGCCGAGTGCTGAGGAACTATGGCTTTGGCAGCAGATAGAGACAGCCTCTTGCGCGAGGGCAGTGATTCCCCTCAATAACGCCACAGAGCCACCCATATTCAACACAGACCAAAATGAGGAGGCTGGAGATAGAGGCGACGAGGACGACAACAGCCATATTGATGAGGAAGAAAATTGTGATCAGTCACACACTCCTGATCCGGTGGTGCCCGACACAAAGAAAGGGAAACGTCAGAGGAAGAGGGGACCACAAACTAGTTCGTCCAATGACGAAATTGACTTTGAACTTGCCACATTCCTACATAATGAATTCCTTCCAGCCAGTGACCCTCGTGCTGGTTGTCGACGCAAGGCCCTCAATCACCTGTATGGTAACAATTTCCTAAGTAGGTCAATCAATTGAGTTCTCGAAGCCCACTCTCACGCGAACAACTTCCAGGGTGTGAACCATTCTGCTGTGTGCGCTGCGCCCCCCGGGAGATCACCTCTTGCTGTGATATCTGCGACCCCGAGTGAACTACAGGCATGGTAGTTACAGATACCCCGCTGAGGACCAAGCGTAGACCAAACAAGGCAAAGCTTGATGCGAGCCGTCCGCTCACGGTTCTCGACTCGATTTTGAAACTAAAACTCGAGACCTTTCGCAAAGAGCTGCACGCCGAGTACTGGGGAGACGTTGAAGACTCGCTCATTGGCCCCCACCTCTTCCTCACAAACACTCAAATCGTTCACCTCTGTCATCTCACACATGCGAACGCCTTGCAGAATATCGACGATCTCTGCAACAATTTCGAATGGAATTGGATGCCCCGCCATGGCGAAAGGCTGTTTCATCTCATATGGAGCATCTGTGAGCCCGGCTCCACCTCAAATGTCCCCGGGAATACCGTTGACTGCCCTGTCGACGCTTCACGGTGCATGCCATCAGTCAATGAGCCCGGTACCAGTGGCGCCGCCATACCAAACCCAAAGAAGACAGCGAGATCGAAGGCCAAGATGGGTCCTGGTAGCCAACGTTGCAGTGCATGCCATGCACTGGGCCATAACAGTGCGTCACGTCGTCGCTTTGGCATTCATTAATTCACAAAATGTTTTATAGAGTCAAGCCCGAAGTGTCCCCTGAAAGCTGTCCAGAGCCCAGCCAATGTCAATGCCATTGCCCCAACCCCCTCCCAATAATCCCTCGTCCCCCCCGTCCCCTCTATTTCCTTGATTTGTGTTATTGTCAACCAAAAAGAATGCGACAATAACATTGTCTATACCCTTTACATTAATAATATCGTACCTTTTTCTAAACCCTTATCTTAAATTAGTAGTTCAGAAAAGTTTGGAACCTTTAGAGTTATCGGGTCGGTCACCTCTCGTCATGGATCACTGAGTAACCTGAAATCAATGCATTTTGTATTTGTGCGCTGAGAGAATGTTGAAAGGAAATTATGTACATTTTTTACTGTTATTTGGGCATGAGGATACAGCGTGTACAACGAGATCGAAGTAAGGCACGGCGAGCGTGGGAGGACACCGTGGGAACATCACGTGTTGCAAGTTGTACCAGTCGCTCGACAGATTTCGGAGGGCAACGTAAGTTGCGGCTAAACCTCGGAGAAATCATGTGAGCGACTGGGAAGGAGTCTGGCTCGGACCCGCCTTTGAGAAAAGGCGAGCTCACATACTTATCCACGGATAAGCTGAACCTACCCAAAGGCAGGGCAGGAAAACTAAAGCCCTTATACATAGGGCCTTACGAAATTCTGGAAACATTTCCAGAAATGTCAAACTACGTTGAAAGAGGGCTCGCGGCTCTCTATGCCGACTAAGCTCTTGCCAAACTCCCTAAACTCCTACTTTCTTGACTAAACTCGCTATGCTCGATCCTTAACTCCGGTGTGGGTTCTCCGGGTTTCCGCAAGGTCCGGGCTCAACAAATCCACTACCCACTCGTTGCAGGCTAGATTGTTGCCCTTATTCCTACTGTTGGATTCCACACACTCACTCCAACTCTAGCGCATCCTAGCACCTTAGAGAAAATGGGGGAGGGGAGAACTTCTATTCCAAAATCCAGTATGTACAGGATATAAGGAACAATTATTTTTAGAAATAATAGATGGCAAATATTGGTGCCATATGGCACCTGGGTACCTTATTAGGTGAAATAATAAAAAGGGTAACAGTAACAATAAAAGAATATCAATCAATAACTGAAATGATGGCAAAATATGAAAATAAAAGAAAATATGCGATATCTCAATGGATTTGCGGAATTAAGGGCCTAAATTGGAAATGTAGCCGGAGATAACTCTCACGCAGCCAATGAACATTTTTACCAATTTATTAGACGCCGTGGGAACGAGTGAGGCTGGAATTCTGGGTTGCCGCTTGAGATTCCCACGCCCGCACATGCCCGTGGTGCCTAACTTGCCCAACATTGAACTCCATCAATTCTCCACCGATTGGGGCGTTCTTGATATCGTCAGAATCGTACGAATTAGGACTATTTTTAGATACCGAATCCGTATCGAGTTGTCGCATGAATGGAAGGGATTTTCTAATCGTGGAAACGGGTATCCAAGCCGGCGCTGCGTGTGGGTGATTATCCCGCCTACAACGTCCTCAAGTTGCCACCACAACTTGAACAACGTGGAATCCACCCAAGATTCCATGTATCCCGGCTCGCACCTCATGAGCCGAATGACCAGGAAATCTTCCCAAATAGGGAAGTAAACATATTCTACGATTTTGGGGAAGACCCCGATCGTGAAGCAGTAGTTCGTGAAATCCTAAACCACGTGTGGGTTCACAACGAACTCTGGTTTAAGGTTAAATGGGAACTAGGGGACACCACATGGGAACCCCTAGGAAATTGCAACGACCTCGTCCACCTGGACGAGTACCTCACCTTACAAAATGTAAGGGAACCAGAAAAACTCCCTATCAAAGAAGACAGGGAACTCTCGGCATCACTACGCCCCCAAAAACGGAGGCGGAGGAAGTAAAGCCGAGGGACGATGGCCCACAGCCAAGAGCGTGGGAAAGTTCTGGGCGAGTAACTCGCCCGGACAGCCACACCATGTACTAGAGATCACATGGGCTAGGCGAGTAACTCGCCTAGACCACGTGAACCACAGGCTCACGTGCAAAAGAACACACAACTGCGGCGAATCCCATGCATGCAAGAACGAAAACCCCTCCCACCACCACGAGTAACATAACGACGAAATGTCGTTCTCTGGGGGAGGCAACCCTCAGTTCGATCCAAACAAACCGCCAGATATCGAAATACAACAACCCAGGGAGCAAGGCTCCCCGGAACAACAACAACACCAGGTGCAGATAAGCGCCATGGATTACACGACACATGCAGCACAAATGAGTGCTGCGAACCAACAACCATCTGCGTTGCTAACAGGCACCGCATACCCCCAGCCTCCCCAAAGAGGCTTCCAACCATACGCGGTGCAAACTGCACTGATGGCGCAACAAGTGCCATTCCAGGGGCAGCATTTGCTGCTGCAGCCCCAGGCATACTCCCCAGGGAACTTCCCTGGCCAGATCAACCCCTGGATTAGCCAATTCGGCCCAGGTCCAACAACACCCCAGCCAAATGCAGGCTGGGAATCAGCCATTGCGTCAGCGGTAGCTGCTCAGACAGGTCAGCTCCGTGAGGAGCTGAAAGAGATGAAGTCCCTCGTAGGAGGGAGACGAGGGAGCGACAGCGGCTCCTCATCCAGACCGTCCAAACGGGCACAGTCTGACAACTCGAGGGCGTCAGAAGACGCCTGCGACCATTGCGCCCACTGGAGGCATGAATACAACAGAGCACGAAGAGATGCTGAGGGCATCTTTGACTCTCTGAAAGACACAGAGAGAGAAGTCGATCTCCAAAAAAGGGAGATCGAATTACTGAAACGTGAGCTCAGAGAGGCACGCGCACTGGCAGACCTCACTGCCAAACCCATCATGACGGGGGCCTCCCAGGTCAGGGGGAGGGGATATGGTTCTGGGCCTCATGAGGTGCGACCCCACATGGGGACTAGTGCATCAAGGGGTGGGGCACCAACTATCCCGCCACCCCGTGGGCAGGCGACCCTGTCCGGGTTGCATAAGGGCCCGCCCTCAGAGGGGCAAACCCATGTTGAGGGGAAGAGGGAGAGCGGTAGGCAACCAACAGCAGACCCTAAAACGGGGACCACTGCCAGAGGCGGCGGGCCGCTGAGTACCTCAGCACCCTATGGGCAAGCTACCCTGCAGGGAAGTGTCCACATGCTATATGAGACCGCCGAACTCAACGAGTTCGGCAAAGTCAAAGCTCCAGTCGACATAACAATTGACCCCAACTTCCCCATGAGGAGAATAGCGGGGTCAGAAGTGCCGCATACGCTTGGTGGACAAGCGTGAGTGGGAAAGAATTCGTACACTGGTATGAACAGGCCGAAGCCACCTTCAAAAGCGGCAAGGTACATAGAACCCTTCGTGAAAAAGTGAAGGAAACCAAGAAATACTTCTTGGGACTCCCGAGTATCACAAGACTCGCGGAGGAATATAATTCCCCAGAGAATAAGGGGAAAATCTCCTGGGAAAGTCTAGGCAAAGCTGCCTACTTAAAGTCCCAGTTCAAACCACTCAGGACTCCTGAGGAACGTGCCACAAGAACTGCGGAACGGGAAGCGAAAGCTTCCAAATACCAGGAAAGAGACGCAAGTCTCCATGCTGGACAACCAGCCCAACAACCATCCTTCCCCACGGGAAGAACGGTAGACCTACCGTACTCTACACCTGAGCCAAGCAGCTCAGGAACACAACAACCCGCTCCCACCCAGGGAGCACCCACTTCGTCAAGCCCACAGCCCAACAATGAACAGACCAGAGTCGGCTCAGACAGACAGAATTATTTGAACAGCTCCGCAGGGTGTTTGATTGTTTGATTTTTCTATAGCACACTAAACTGTTGAAAAAGCAACCAAAACACTAACACAGCACCGTACTCAACAGGTACACTCCCCCACAACCAGGAACAGGGAAAACTGCACTCTCAGTTCCGCTCTTTCAGCGCTAACAGCACTTTCCGACATTACATTGTTCCTTTGATGGCTCCTATTCACTTTGATGGTGATGACTTCAAAGCACTTGTGCTCCGCATAGACACCTATCTAGGCTCAGATATGATGGACTTTCTTTCTGGTGTCAGCAGCTGCACTGTCAGACGCTGGCATGCATGGTACAGAAGGTTTGGCCATTTCAACCCTGATTTGAACAAAGGTGGCCACGAACAAAAGCTCAGTAAGGAAGATATCCAGGTATGTATTCTATATTCTTATCTAGCTTATTTACCTCAACTTTACATAGTTTCTTATTGGCTTGCTGGATGCATGACCAGACTTCTTTTTGGATGAGCTTCAACGGAAGCTTATTGATGGGCATGGGATGATTGTCTCCCAGTCCTGTATCTGGAAGACCCTGTGTCATCAAGGATATACTATGAAGAAGGTATGAACAACCAAGTGTTTTGTTTACTGTAATGCAACTTGTCTTTCAATTAGGTGCAACACAAAGCTTGGGAACGCAATGACGAAAAGTGTGCAGAGTGGCACCAGGACATCACTGACAACTACCTTGCTGACCAGCTTGTCTTTGTGGATGAGACAGCTGTGGACAAGCGCAACTCACTTCAGATCCAAGGATGGTCACAAAGAGGGTACAGAGCAACAGTTCATTCAAGCCGTTCAAAGGGCAAAAGGTGTGCGCTTTATTTTGGGTTGCTGAGGAACTAATCTTCAGATCTTTCCATAGGTTCTCAGTGCTCCCAGGGCTGTCATTGGATGGCCCATTGTATGTTGAAGCATGAAAAGGATCTTACGATACCGAGGCATTTCGTCACTTTATTCACAAGTTGTTAAGAAAAATGAACCCCTTCCCACTCAAGAACTCCATTATCATAATGGACAACTGTTCAATACACAAACATCCCTCAATCAAGGACCTGATTGAGCAAAAGTACACTGAAGTTTCTAGTTTTCTTGGGGCCCAGTTGGTGACTTACACTTTTTTCAGGGGATGCAAATTGATTTATCTCCCTCCTTACTCTCCGGACTACAACCCAATCAAAGAGTCATTTTCAAAATTCAAACACCTTTTGTGTCGCGATAGCACACCTTTGCGGGATGTCATGAATACTGAGAATGATATGTTGATTGAAAACCATTTGTGCAATACCTATTGTACCATTTTGCCTGAGGATGCGAAAGGTTGGTTTAGAGATTGTGGTTATGATGTAGACTGAGCATTGTCAGGGGACGACTCCCGGGTCCCCATGACCCTCCCCTATGGTCCACAGCCCTGAGGTGTAACCAGCCCTATCCAGGGCACAACCTACTGTGGGTAAGGAGATGAATAGATAAAGCAGTAGGTAAGGTACACTTGCCTACTGTGGGTAAGGAGATGAGAAGGAGTAGGAACCGGGTCCGGAGCATGCGGCGCGCAGAGCGTGCGCGTGTGCAGGAAGCGCGGTGGGTGGAAGCGGGTCCGGACGCGGGTCCGGGTCCGGGCTAGTCAGGGTGTGTGCCCTGACAAGCATGCATTGTAACATTATTAACATATAAACGATGGGGATGATAAACTAGTTGAATCTAGTTGCCGTCTCATGAAATTCTCCAGATTTTGTGGTGCATTGCATGGCACAGCTTCTCAGAAAGACCATGAGGGATGTTGACCCCAAGTCCGTGAAGCCCATCGCTCAAACAAGCTCTGGATAACTCACCTATGTGGAGGTACCCCAGGTCATTTATCTCCACCAGATATTGACTGAAGAGCAGTCCATCTGGATTGAAGTCTGAGTCATCCTCGAGTTTGTCTAGCCAGCGTTCAACAGTGGGGAATGCTGAAGGGGGCGGAGTAAGGTCCTCACTGCTTTGTGGAGCTAACTGCGATAATCCTGTTTGCCAGTGATAATCTCCATAGGTATGGGAGTGGCTGTCAGCACTATAACCACCCGGGAATGGGTAGTGATGAGGGAGGAAAGCAGTCCTTGGATCTGGAAAGGGGAATGGATAGTGATATGGTGGAGGATATGCAGTGTACATTGTAGGCCACATAGAGGGACCAACTGGAATGGGACCGCTTTGGAGAGGAGCATTCGGCATGAGAACCATTTCCGGTCCACCATTCACAGGGGATGGCAAAGTTTGGGGTGGTAGAGCTGGTTGAGAAGTGGATTTTGTCTTGCCATCGTTCTTCTTTCCACCAGGTGGAGGGGGGACTTCAGCATCAGCAACACTTTCTCTGACAAGATACATCGGGGGTTCTTCAAATGAGGCAATGCCGTTATCCTGACACAAGTTAGCAAAGGATCATTAGTCATGGAAGGAAATGTGCATACAACTGACTGGGCCCAGCGCTTAACGGCAGACTTGTTCAAGATAACATGTTTGCCCACATAGCCAGGGGTTGATAATACACAACAGTGCGACTTATGTGATTTGCAGAAATCATTCATCTGCCTTAGCTTCTCTTCAATATCACGGACTGGTAGTTTGGGGATTTTGCATTGCTTGGGTTCGGAATCATTATCAGAATTTGAGGGGGATGACGAGTCTGGCTTATATGACTTAAGTTTTGCCTTCTTTGACTTCTGCTTGCCATGGGGTATTTCATCTTTCGGAGGCTGTTGAACAAAAGATACAGTTAATGTTGATCAGCCCAGAAACTTCACAATCCAATTAACATACCAAATTACTGATAAGAATTGCGACAGATGGTTCCTTCTTCCCCTTCACTTTTTCGGTCACATCACTGATCATCATCTCATAATCAGTTTTGTTGTCAACTGCCACTGGGTCCTGATTCTTTGGCGCTGAGTACATTTTCCATGTGAATTCATGCTTGAAAGTACGTGTCTCTGAGAAACCTGAGACTTCAACGATTGCTGCGCACCACTCTCTATATTCCTTGGTACTTGGCATTCTGCAATATTTGTACTTGCCACCGATGTTGACCATGTAAGTGATCCCAAAGGCCTCAGGCCCTTCAGAATCAACACGAAAGATCTCATGTTGCAGCACCTGGTTTGGTGGGGATGGTGCTGGTTTGGATACGTCTAAACACCAAACCCAGTAAGCACTGATTTGGTTATGGAGATTTGACATTTACTTACCATTCATCCTTAATGAATCCGACATGCCAACAAGCTGCAGTGGACCCTCTTCCTCCACAGTGCCCAAGTCTAGAGTGGCAGCGTAGTTTTGTGATTCCGTGATGCCACCAGGCAATGTTCCTGGTTGCACAGTAGCAGCAGCAGCTACTAGTGCATGTAATCCACTCAGGTCAGCAGGATTTTGAGCAGGATTTGGCAGTGGTGACACAGAAGGAGGGTGGGAAGGTGGTTGTTGTCATGGACGCAGATTTCGGTGGGGGTCCGAAGGAGAAGCCATCTCCAGGGATTCTGGCTGAATTTTCTTCCATGCTGAGTGCAAGGCCTCTACCCTTGGTCCCTGTGCACCCACCCGCTTCCCTCCCCCTTCCATTGTGCATGGAATACGAAGCGCAAATGGAAGAATAAATGGAAAACAAATTGCATGCCTCCGGAAGAAGCTGTTGGTTTGGCCCCAGGAAGAGCAGGCATGGAAAAGGATTGGCATGTAATATAATGCTCCATAAGGGAGAGGTACTGAGGAGAATGGAGAGGAAAAGATGGTGGTGATGTAAGCTCAGGTTGAGAATGGGGGATTGCATAAAGGAAGGGTTGATGGACATGCACAGAAATACAATTTTTTTTGAAGACTCCTATCAATTATACAAAAGAGAGATCCCAGGCCACATCCAAGAACTGTCAGGGCACACCCGCCTGACCCAGGTCCACCCGGACCCACCCAGCCACACCACACCCGCTCCCCGCTGTCCAACCCTCTCCCTCCTCCTTCCTCCCTCTCTTCCCCTTTCCTTTCTCTCTTTCTTCTCCTTTCTTTATCTCACTCCTCTCATCTTCCTTTCTTGTTTATTCCTTTCTATCTACATGGACCACCTTCCTTTGTATCAATGTACTATTGACCCGTCCGGCCCACACACCCCAGACAGCTCCCCGCTGTGCCCAGCACAAGCGCATGCAGCGGACGCTCTTGGGATCCCCCATGGGGACACCCAGATGCCCACGGCTGTCTCCGAGGATGATGTGGCGCTCGTCATGTGACTCAAGCCGCATGTACATAAATGTACCTGAAGTGGGAACCGAAGAAGTAACCTTCTTCTCACATCCCCCACTTCAGGTAAGTAGTATAGTCTTCCCTTTTAATAATAATAACACATTCCCCACTTCAGTCTAAGTGGCCAGGGACTGCTGTCCCTTCCTGGACCCACCAGCACGCACGCCTGGTTCGCACCCCGCGAGGGCCCTTCTGCCGGGTGATACATCCGGACCCCCTCTACCCCGGACGCGTCCCTGACAAGAACTCCTTTCCACCAGACTTTCACCGCACCACACCCTGCTGTTGAGGAAGACAGTGCCAAGCCACATTGAGCACAGTCTTGAACATGCAGCCTAATTAAAAAACGAAAAGAAATCCTATCAGTTAGAAAAAACAATGGGTCTGAGATAAATGCCAGAAGAACTCACCACCTGACTTTCACTGTGCTGCACCCTGCCATTGTTGAGGAAATCAGGGGGACGGTATCAAGCTACATTGAGCACTGTCATGAACCTGCAGCCTAATTAAAAAATGAAAAAAATCCTATTGATTAGAAAAAAAAATGGGTCCGAGACATATGGAAGAACTACTCACTGCACGACTTTTATCCCATTTCACTCAGCAGTTGTTAAGAAAAGTGGGGGGGACTGTGTGAGTCACTGCAATGGCACACAACCTGATTAAGAAATGAAAAAAGGCCTATCAGTTAGAAAAAAAAATGGGTTTGAGATATTTACAAGAACTACCTACTGCCGAATTTTCATCCCTTTCCATCCAGCCATTGTTGAGAAAAATGGGGGACTGTGACAAATGTGAATTTATAAAAAACAAGAATTAGGATTATTGGTGGTAAAGTAATCTGTTCTTTGTCAGGCTTGCTTTCATGCCAATGAGCAAGTGCGGAACCAAAATTTGTCATGTGGACTATTGAATGGAAAACGGCAGTAACTCCCCAGTGACCTGCCAGACTATGATGAACGACATCCTCCAGGACTTCATTGACCGTTATCTGCTACATGGACGACATTCTGATTTTCATGTTGTAGGAGGGATGAGCCAGTAGTACCCAAACAGCACTATATAATGGTCTACAGACGTTACCTGGGACCTGGCACACAATCCCCCAGCCCCCCAAAGCTCGTTGTACTTCCCCCATCATCTCTGTATTTTTTGATATTTTTCCAGACCAGGTTATGGCCACTTAGTTTCCATATCGGGCCGCTTTCATGGTATTTTCACCATAACTCCCCCAGTTCTTCTCCGATCCAGACACATTTGATATTGTTGGAAAGCTACCGTCAAGACGAGTCGAACAAGTCTAATATCAGGAGATTTGGTGCAGCCGTTGTGGAGATCGTCGGAATTTATCGAATGTGTGACCATTCCCATATATTTTTCATGTATACTGTTGTTTTCTTTGTTCTATGTTGTTCTGTCCGTTTCTATCCATCCCTAACACCGTCGGATTTCTCAGACATTGGCTTCGGTTATATACAAGCATGTATCTAGTATGAAAAGAGATCTTCTCCTCCTTCCCTGCTTAAGTGCCAGTCCGACAGTACCGCATCTGGGAGTGTGTGAACGAGTTCAGTTAGGTTTAGGGCGACATTGAGAAGGCAGGACACCTTGCTCAGCCCTAGGGAAGGTCCACCAGTTGGTCTAGTTGGTTGTTCACGGAAGTTTAAGTTTTCGGACCTTGTAGTAGGAAGGTCTGCCAGTGAGTCTGTCAATGCTGCAGTTTTGCTCCTCCCCCTTCGTTACCTGTGTGTGGGTGTGAGGGTGGTCTGCTCTGGTTCAGAGGTCTGGTGCCCCTGCAGCCTCTTCAGCCCCCCTCCCTGCTTGCAGAGCTGGTGGTCCTTACAGGGGCCAGAAGGGTTCTTTGCTTGGACGTTTCAGGACTCAAGTTATCATTTACACTCATGTAGATAACTTGCGCATCATCGCAAGATATCTACATGAGTAGGACACAATATGTGGAGTACACAAGTGAAGTTTAGGATGCAGGATGCTGAGGATGATGGAGAACTCATGCTGCCATCGGGTCTAGCGCCTGTTTGTCATGGTTCTAGTTTGGTAGAGGAGGCAGAGCCCTCTTTGACAGTGGACATGCTGGATTACTCTATGCCAGGCCCTCGTAGCCATGAGGTGCCTAGGTTTGCTGGGAAGGACATCCTGGAGTTTTATTCAGGAGTATGAGCTGCTAGCGAGTGGCTCCCAGTTGTCGGATGAACAGAAGTGCGAGTTTTTGGTGGGATATTGTTCAGAGAAGGTTGCCAAGGTTGTTTGGACCTTTCGCAGATGGAGGAAGCAGCACTGGCTTCAGTTGAAGTTGGACTTGTTGTGTTTTTATTTGGCAGAGTGTGGAGAGAAGGTCTACCACATGAAAGACCTTAGGGGATTTGCCAAGAAGGCCAGGAGGATCAGGAGTCGGTCTCAGTTGGACGAGTACTCGAGGAAGTTCAGGGTTATTGCAGCCTCACTTGAGGAGAGGCAATGCCTGGACAGATTCGAGCGTGATGCATACTTTTGTGAAGGGATTAGGCCAGAGAGGCTTAGGATTGCAGTTAAGTGCAAGTTGAAGGCACAGCACCTATGGACAGACCCAAGGTTACCCCCAGACATGCAGAGCATCATTTCCGTGGCAAAGCACTTGTTGAGACATCGAGTTTATCATGGTGATGGGTCAGACAAGGACTCTGATGATTTAGATGGTGATTCTGACAATGAATCCAACATGGATTCGAGTTCAGATGATGATGATGGGTCGAGTACAGAGGATTTGGATGTTGATGATGAGTATGATGGATTTAGGCAAAGTAACCCTAAGTTTTCGAGGGAGACTTCAGTTGGGAAGCAAAGCATGGCTTCCAGAGTATCAGAGGAACATAGAATGTAGCGCCAAAGTTGAGACCGGTGTATGCGGAGTCAGAGTCTAGTTGTGAAGAGCTGGACTGGGATTTGGCAGAAGGAATCACTCCAGCCCAAGTGTCAGAAGTTGGATTGGTGGATTTCCTTCAAGAGAGAATAGCAAGTCATACTGTAGGAGTATCCCCTGAATGGGATCAGAGTTTCGAGTCTGTAGATCAGGATTTTGGTGCGATAGGAGTGCCAGAGTGTGGGAACTTGCATGATGAGCAAGCAGAAGACTTGAGTGTGGCATCCGACAAGTGGATGCAGAGTTCAGTGTCTAGTTTGGAGCTACCTGTTGTTAGAACGGGCAGATTCGGACGACTCCGGAGTGGAATCGGAGACTTAGCGTGGAAGGACCTCGGCCTCAGCAACTCAGGCAGAGCGCTGTGCCATTGCTGGTTGTCCTGGGGGTCCCTAATTTCGGATCTAGCAGAGGGAAAGTCTCTTGGGGGAAATCAAGTTGATTTCAGACTGAGGTTGCAAGTTACTATGTACATTGTATATAAGGAGGGGTCTGGGATCAAAGGGAGCAAGGGTACTCTGAAAGGAGACAAAGGGAGCTGGAATGAGGAACAACACTGAGGGTCAAGGGTTTGACTCAATGGTGTTTCCCAAAGGAGGAGTGAAGGGCCAAGGCCCAAGGAGGAAGGAAGGAGGATGGGAGTGGGGAATGGCCAGCTGACTGAATAGAAAGGAAGCAGCAGCCCAAATAGGAATGAGGGTAACAAACATTCAACCCTATCGCCCAGATGAGATCCCCAAACGACCCGCTGACCCCTGCCCAGGCCCCAAAATCATAGATGGAGAAGAGTACAAAGTTGAGAAGGCCCTCAATTCCCACTGGTGCCACAGGAAGCTCTGGTACCTGGTGAAGTTTACAGGCTGGCCAAATTCCGAGAATGAATGGCTCCCCACGATAACCTGGCCAACACCTGTGACTGGATTGAGGAGTTCCACAGAGCACACCCAGGCACCCCAGATAGAGAGCAAGAAAACCCTCTGGCCACTTCAAGGCAAAGCAGCTTATGTCAGGGCACACTGCCCTGCAATGTGCCACACCGCCTCCTTCCCCCCTCCTGTCACCAGGGCACACCTGCCTGACCCCACTCCACCCAGTCCGACCCCACCCAATCCCACTACCCACACCCAGTGCCCCCATCCTCCTTCCTCCCTTCTCTCCTCCCTTCTCTCTCCTTCTTTCTTTCCCTTCTTCTTTCTTCTTTCCTTTCTTCCTTCTTCTTTCCTTTTCTACTACACAGATGACTTTCTGTCATATCCGTGCATACCCGACCCCGACCCAACTTCCGGACCCCCACCCTCTTCACCTCCGGAGTCATACCCTACCGCTGCCGTTCCGATACTCACCTCCGGTCCTGGCAACACACCTCCTTCTACCCCCCCATGCCACCTCTGCTCCTCCTTCCCTCTCCTCC